TGCATGACCCTGAGCAAGGCACACAGCTTTTTTGTTTCCAGCCCACTCAATACAGCACAACAGTCTAAGGCAGTGGTTCTCAACTTGTGGGTCTAGACCCCTCTGGGGGATCAAACGACCCTTTCACGGGGGTTGCCTAAGTCCATCAGAAAACACAGATACATTACAATTCATAATAGTAGAGAAGTTACAGTCAGGAAGTAGCAACAAAGTAATTTTATGGTTGGGGGTCAGCACAGCATGAGGAACTGTATTAAAGGGTGGCAGCATTAGAAAGGTTGAGAACTACTGTTCTATGGCTTGAATTACAACTTAATAGTATATGAAAGGCAATGTGGACACTCCTGGCCAACAGAGTGTGAGCTTGTTCTTCCCATCTGATCTTCCTTGTCCAGAGGGTCCTTGCCTTGGGATAGCGGAGGGGACAGCTTGCAGGTGTCAGGTGACAGGATACAAGAGGCCTTGGCACCCCAACTACTCTATTCTCTACGCCAAGTTGTGTAGCCTACAAACCTCCCTGTCCTTTTTGTAACCCCTACCAAAGTTTCTCCTATCCATTGCAGAGTTATCTAATCGCACTGTTCACACAAAAGCAAGTCTGAGGACCCAAGTTCAAGAACACGTGAACACCACTTCGGTTCCGATATTAACTCCGTGAAGAGGTTTCAGTATTTGACAAAGCCAGGAGCTCAGTTGGTAGGCACTTGTCTAACATCCACAAAGCCTTGAGTTCCATCCCCAACGCTGCGAAAACAAGGCATGGTGGCACATGGCTGTAATCCCACCATTTGGGAGGCAGAAGTAGAAGGATCAGAAATTCAAGGCCATCTTTATCTACATAGCAAGCTCAAGGCCAGGCTGGGCTATATAAGATCCTGTCTCAAAAACAGACAAGTAGAAACAGATCTAAAAAGAGTTTGAAATTTTGAACAAAAGAAAGGATGCGTACTGGTGAGGCTCTCCCAGAGGGTGAAGACATGAGTGTCACCTCCTTCCTACAAGCCAGGTTTCCATGACTCTGAGCTGGAAAAGACTCAAAGTCACAGAACATCAGCTCAGACTGCTAGCTGTCACAACTCAGTCAACAACAGGTCCAGAGCAAACTCGGGAGGCTGTCCCTCCTGCTCTAGCCAGGAGTACTGCAGTGTGCTGTGGTTATCGCTCTATATAAATAAAACACTGATGGCCAGTGACCAGACAGGAAGTATAGGCGGGACAAGGAGAGAGGAGAATTGGGGAAACAGGAAGAAGGAGGGAGAGACACTGCAGCCACCGCCAGGACAAGCAACATATAAAGACGCGGGTAAGCCACCAGCCACGTGGCAAGGTATAGATTTA